CAGCTGTCCAGCACCCGTGTGCCTCCAGTCAGTTCACATTTCAGGACAGTGGTGAGCATGCCACGCCATGCCAGGCGCATCCTGGCCCTTCAGGTGCCCTGTCAACAGGAGTGGCTAGAAATAGGCTCCACTCTCAGCATCTGCGGACCGCTCTCTTACGGCTGCACGTAAAACACACTGGATACAGCCGCCGCTACTGCCTCTCCAGACCACTTCTCCACCATTCACAGCGTTGAGCAATAGGTTATTGTGCACCAAGAGGCTTGGAGGAGTGGCACCACTGCTTGAGGGTCAGGGGCTTCCTATCTTGGCAGGACAATGTTAGTGTGCAGTACTCAGTGGCACCAGCGGCCCTCCGGCTTCCAAGGCGTGGAGGTCAATGGCTTGTCCTTGGCCCAGAGGTGACACGTACTGTCACGATACTCGAGGTTAGAAGTCCCTGCGGCATCAGTAAGTTAGTTTTGAAGCTCTCCTGTTGTAGCAAGGCCTTTCTGTCAGTGTGGATGCAGCATTTCTGAACAGAAAACTATTTTCACTTATCGTTAGAACCAGTTCCAGCTCTTGGAAATCTTGGAGTCGGGCAACATCTTTGTCCTAAAACAAAAAATAGGCTAATCAGATTAAGAGGAGCCACTTGTCTCTTTAGGTTTGGTATGCTGTGTTGACTTGATATCAGTATCTTGGCTCATTTTAAAACCTAAAAGCGAAAAAAAACGCACCACCCTTTGGCAGGCTGTCAGTGACAGTGTAAGAAAGCCCCAGGGCGTGAGCTGGGTAGGAATGGTGGGAGCCCTTAGCAGCAGCTGCTCTAGGAAGAGCACATCTTGAAGGGAGAGGCAATGCGGGAACCTGTTTTACCCATGTGCTCTGAGAAGCAGAGCTGATACTCAGAAAACCCAGGGATGCTGGGAGGACCACACATGTGTCCATGTGGGTTTGCACTGTGATCTAACCTCATTCTGATGGTGCACTAAGATAATCCCTGTAGAGCCACACAGAAACAACTGAAGGAAATGTGAATGGTACTTCAGAAAATTCTCTCTGGGATCCTACAGCTTGCAAAAGGCCATAAAACAACAACAACAAAAAACCAAAAAGGCTAATGTCCCTATAAACCAGTAGAGGGAAAGAAAGCTCAATGATTATATTTGGAAAACCACCCTTCTCTCCTTTTCTATTATCTTTTCATTTCCTCAGCTATGACTCATATAACCAAGGAGGAAACTGGGTATTTTCCAAATGCAGAAAGCAACCAGCCATTCATGCTGAACAGGCCTTTCCTTACCTTTCTTACCAGGGTGTTGGGTAACTTTCTGATCTTCTCCACTTGATCTGGATTAACACCCAGCTCACAGCAGCTCACTCTGAGCAATTCTTGGTAGGTGAGCTCCTGCCGGTCCAGTTCAATTTCAATGAAGTCATTTTCTCGAAGAGATGGGTTTTGAATCCTCACCTTGAGTACCAGCTCTAGGGAAAAAAAGAGGGGAAATGTTAGTGAACAGTTCTGGCATAATCAGCCTATGTAATTTAAGGTATTTTCCAGAAGAAGCTTGTGCCACCCAATGAGGAAAAACTAGGCACCATCAGCAAGAGTTGCTCAAGCCCAATTCTGGCTCTGCAGGCAGTTGCCTGCACTGTCTTCCCTAGACCTCAGACTGTGTGTGCTTCTCAAGTAAAAGGGGGCGTGGAGGGGGGTTGGGAGGGGACAACCATCACAACTATATAGAGTCGTGGTTGGCAAACTGCGGCTTGTGAGCCACATGCGGCTCTTTGGCCCCTTGAGTGTGGCTCTTCCACAAAATACCATGGCCTGGGCGAGTCTATTTTGAAGAAGTGGCATTAGAAGAAGTTTAAGTTTAAAAAATTTGGCTCTCAAAAGAAATTTCAATCGTCGTACTGTTGATATTTGGCTCGGTTGACTAATGAGTTTGCCGACCACTGGTATAGAGAATAATTTCTTTCTGCTGCTGGAACTAAGAAGGTAAAGGTTTAAAAATGGTTTTGGGAGTTAAACTATATATAAGCAGGGAAGGAGAAGAGAGGGGAAAAGAAGGCACAGGCAAGACATGGTACATGAATAACTCTAAAAAGATTTAACAATTGTGGATCTAAGGATATTTATAAAATATGAAATTCCTTATATAGAGCGCAGTAAAAGGGCAAGAAGCTAGTAAAAATTACAGTATAATTGTGACTTGAGTACAGTGCACCTGAGTAAGGGAGCCGTGGCTTTGGGAGTAAACATCTTGCTGTAAAGAGAGGACGGCAGTAGTCCAAGAAGGATGTGACATGTCCGAGGGACACAGAACTGGCTTAAAGAAGCTCCCTTGGGCAAATGTGCATAATTCAAACATCAAAGTAACGGTAATGCATTATAATCCTATGAACACTGAGGTCTAAAATGACAGAGAAAGGCTGAGGAAATGTTCCAGATTAAAAGAGACTAAACCAACATGATAACTAAATGCTGTGGGTGATCGGGGGCAGAGGTGGAGGGAGTGGAGATGGCTATGAAGGGCATCGTTGAGATAATTGATAAAATTTAAATATAGGCCATGGATTAGAGAACAGTATTCCATAGCAAGGTTACATTTTCTAAATTTGATCGCTGTGTTGTGTATAATTATGTAACAGGCTATCCTTATTCTTAGGAAATACCCACTTAAACAGTTGAGGGTAAAAGGGCAAAAGGCAAACCATCTGAGTAAGGAGAGTTCCTTATACCAGTGTTGCAGCTTTTCTGCAAATCTATAATTATATTTAACCTAAATACATTCCACCCCAGACCCAGAGTAAAGCTCTAGAGCTCCGGATGCTGTCTGCCCATTTGCAGAGGCGGCTGCTGACAAGGAGGTACCTTGCATATTAAATGGAAATGCTCCAGTGAAGAAAAACGGCTGGAACGCTGGTGCTGGGCCTGCATAGGTCCCATTTTGAGGCTCCAGAGACACTGGTGGCTTGGACGGGACAGAGGAGAACAGTGATCGGCTCTGACTCACTGGTGGCTGACAAACAGGTTTTGTGCTTTCTGGTGTTCTGAGGAGAGCAGAGGGGGCAGACGCATCCCCATGCTGCACCAGTGCCAAAGGGGCGTGGTCCCTCGGAAAGGCCCCCAGCAGGGGGGGTTCCCCGGCGGGGAGCAGTGCAGGGGAGCCGTCTCCAGGGGGTGAGGCAGGGGGTGTGGCAGGGGGTGTGGTGGGGCCCCCATTCTGCAGCGGGGCCGAATCATCTGCCACGGGGGTGTAGATAAAAGGGAAAGCTGCACTGGCCAAGTAGTTGGGAACAAAGGGCAAGTCTGACTCCTTCTTCATCTGGGGGCAGTTGTCATCATCATCTTCTTCTTCCACTGCAAAAGAAGAAAGCACAGAACCGTTACATAGTCCTTCAAAAATTGGCAAGAAACAGGTGTCTTGTGAAATCTAGTGTGTTTTGGTCTATGGTCAGTGTTCAGTGCCTCTTCAAGTCAGCAGAAAAAGAATAGTTCATTTATGATTACCGTTTTTATCATCTTAAGTTTTATAGATTAAAAGACTTACAATGCCTACCTTTCCAGAAACAACACAGAATTACCATCTTGGCACAATAGGTCTTTGCTTTTAGAAACAAACTGGTTGCTTGAATTGCATAAAGAATACAGCCAATAATACTACCAGTCTTAAATTAGTTTGACAAAGTCAAAACCCGCCCCAGAACTCAGACTCACCTCCCATTATCTTTCTGATTTCTCTCCTTGATGTCAACTGGACTGGCATTTCTCCTTTCGTGGTAAGAATCTCTTTGTCGGCTCCTGATTTTAACAAGTAAGAGACCACCTGACCATGATTTCGTTTACAGGCCCAGTGCAAACAGGTCCTGTCCCAAAAAAAAAAAGGGGGGGGGGGTAATTTAAAAAGAAGAAAGGTGATTTGGGATTTCAAATTCTACAGGTTAGCAAATAAATATATGCAAGAGTTTTGCTAGGACCAGGAAACCAGGCTAGTAATCTCAACTTTTCTTTACAGAAAGCAGATGAGCAAAATATGCTTAAAATTCATTTTTAAATTTCATTTCTGGCTCTTGGGAGAAACTGATTTGTCCTAGGAGCTTTAATTTCGATGGCTTCCAGAAGGCTGACAGGCTGGCTGGCTGGCTGACTCTAATGGTACTGCTGAGCGTTAGTCTAGCAGTATTGCTCATTAGATTGTCCCAATCTCTTTAAAATATATCTTTATATTGGCACATTCCTTTTTTAGGGACTACGGAAACTTGTTTCATATGCATCAATTATCACTTGAAGATTAAATATTATCAGGCAAATAACCATCTTATCTATAAGTTTGCTCTGCCACTAAATTACTAGTAACACAGAATATTCTTGTCTGAATCTTTTCCTCTTTTTCTTTCCTTCACACTACAAAAAGAAGGGTTTCTAAATTTCCATTTTTATTTTTAAATATATTTTTATTGATTTCAGAGAGGAAGGAAGAGGGAGGAAGGGAGAGAAAGAAACATCAATGATGAGAATCATTGATCAGCTGCCTTCTGCACGCCCCTTACTGGGTATCAAGCCCACAACGCAGGCATGTGCCCTTGACCAGAATTGAACCAGGGACTCTTTAGTCCACAGGCTGACGCTCTATCCTCTGAGCTAAACCAGCCAGGGCTAAATTTCCATTTTTAAAAATGTTGGCTTCTCTTGTTCTCTCCAGAAGGCTACGAACACACCCTCATCTGCTTACACGTAAGGCACTGCACAGACATTAATTCCTAAGGCATTTAAAAACGTACATCAACCACCAAAATTTCAAGAACTCTTCTACCATACTAGACTCATTTCAGTAAAATCAATTCTTTAATATTGTAGACATAGAAGTTATGTACACACTGAAGGGCTGTTTTAACACTGTCTAGAAATATAATTGGCATGCCCACAAAAACTCCATCTTAACAGAAATGAAAGGATTCAGAGCTACTAAATTCATCCCCAGTTGTCAAAGCTGAATGATATCAGGGAAGGAAAGACTTTTTTCCCACTGTCATGAAATGTCCTCATTCACCAACTCTTTAAACTGAGATAAATATCTTTAGCGCTTATAGGCAAATACATTTATGGTAAAGAATAGAACATGTGTTCAATAGTGAGAATTAGCTCCCTCACCTGGGAAATATAATATCTAGAAAGTTCATTTGGTTCCAGGAAAAGCTGATTTTGCCATGGGTACCCTGATATTTATGACTTACAGAAAGCTAGCTTGTCTGGCTGGCTGGGAGCAACCCCACTGATGTGCACAGAGTGACAATCTACAATATTATTCACTAAAATTATTCAAGTGCCTTTAAGATGCACTCTATGATGATATGACTGCCAATTTTAGAAAAATAAGGGAAGAGTCTTGATCTAGACTTCTACAACATAAGCTCCACAAAGACAAGGAAGGGTCTTAGACATGCAAGTTCTTAATATTTGCTGAATGAGTGTTGCTAGGAGGAGAAGGATCCAACGCATTCTGGGCAAACGGCAGCCCACAGTGTGTGTGTGTGTGGATTCTGTAGCAGAGACTTGGAAAGTAAATAATTATAATAAGCGAGCACTCAAAAATGAATGGAGCCTGATGAGAAAAATATGTTCCCTTTGGAAATAAATGCTCACTCGCTAGTAGTAAGTCATGGCAGACTTGCTCATGACAAGCTTGAGGGGAAGGAGGTAATGGACTGCCAGTGGGTCTGAGATACTCTGGGACAAACCAACTAAAGTAGCACCATGCCAAGTGGGGTTAGGTCAGCACGCCCCCCTCCCCCCCCAGCCCTGTGCCCTAATCATCACCTACAGTCCAGGCCTGTGTGGCTCTGGGCAGTCATAACTCAGAGCCACTGCAACCAGGCAATCTTTTCAAATTCTTCCTGGGCCATTAGACTTGTTCCTTAAAGCCAAGGGATATGCAGGACACTTAAATTACAGTCGATGTGGGAGTTCTATCTTTGAACCTCAACTCTCCAAGCTTTAAATTTGCAGTCAGAATATCTTATGAGTGCTGGGAAGTATTTCAGACCAGAGGCCTGGGCATCGTTCATCAATGCTGAAATTGTGGTTACTGAGCAGCGAAGAACTGAAAGCAGTAACGATTCTGCTAGAAAGTATTTGTTTGTTTATTTAGTCTTTATCCAGCACACTGCTTATATAATAACACAATTATAATGCTTTCCATGCTGGACATTGGCCTAAAAAAAATACAGACATTAACTTATTTAATCCTCTAAACAACCCACAAGTTAAGTACTATTATCAACGTTCCTTCCTTAATACAGATGAAGAAACTGAGGCAGCCAGCAAATAAATAAGCAAAACAAACAGTATGCTTGCTATTATGAAGTGTGATAGGGACAATAAAGCAAGGAAAGGAATTAGGGGATGCCAGAGGTAGGGGAGGGGCATAATGCAATTTTAAATTGAAGAGCCAAGGAAAGTCTCATCAAGGTTATATCTAAGCTCAGACCTGAAGGAGGTGAGGAAGCAAAAGCATTTGGGATGGAAGGAAGGGAACACACAAAGGACTTAGATCAGAGCTGTGCCTGATGTTTCAGGAAAAGCAAGGCCATGAGAGCAGAGTGAAGAAAGCAAGGGGCAAATGCAGAGATGAGGCAGGGAGGCTCGGGGACAGGAGGACGCCATGGGCTCTTAAGAGTGAAATGGGAGCCATTTTGAGGGTCCTGAGCAGAGTGACATGATCCAAATTATGTTTAAGTTAGATCCCACTGACTTCTCTGCTGAAGAAGACTGTCAGGGGTCAGGGTAGAAGCAAGGGACTAGTTAGGAGGCCACTGCACTGATCTGGGTAACAGAATGATGGCAGCTCTGTCTAGAGAGGCAGTGGTACAGCCAGTGAGAAGTGGTCAGAATTTGCCAACTGAATGGCTGTGGGTGTGAGGGGAAGACCAGAAGCAAGGCTGGCACTGAGGGTTCTGGCCTGAGCACCTCAGACACTGAGATGAGGACCCCAAGAAGCAGGTCTGGGGCAATGAGGGGATGAGTGCAGACCGGGAATTCAATCTTTGACACCTTGAGTTTGAGGCAGCTATTAGACATCTGTCCCAATAAATCTATGAGAAGCTTCCTCTGGTTATCTCAGATTCAACTTATATCAACCGAGCATTGTTAAAAAACAAAATTCAACCCAGTACACTTGAAGATCTAATTTGGCTCTATTAAATAATTCAGGATTGCCCTGGCCAGTTTGGTTCAGTGGATAGAGCATCAGCCTGTGGACTGAAGGGTCCCGGGTTCTATACTGGTCAAGGGCACATGCCCGAATTACAGACTCAATCCCCAGTGGGGGGCATGCAGGAAGCAGCCAACCAATGATTTTTCTCTCATTGATGTTTCTCTCTCTCCATTCCTCTCTGTTATCAATTAAAAAATATATAATTCAGGATTGAACAGCATCCCACCTAGCAAGTAGAAGGGAGCTCTGAGAAGCTGTTAAAAAAACAAAAAAAAGGAAAGGTTTTAATAGGCAGAAACTGAGCAGGACAAGAAAGTTGCTAATGTAAGCAAGGATCACTTCTTTTCAGACAAGTGCACTCTTTGGAAGAGACAGGAGTCTTACTAGGTAGATGACCTCAGTAGTGTTGATCAGGAAATCCCTAATCTGACTGATTGACAGTCACCCTTCTGCGAGGGGCTTAAACTGCAATCAAGTCTTGGCTTGCTGTCCTTGGGACCTTGGGCCTGTAGTTCCTTTTTAAAACAGCACCTGTTCTGTGGCAGGCACTATGGTTAGGCAAGCAGGGTCTGAAGTCCGATGCTGGGCTGTTTCCTAGCTCCACTAGGTAGTGCAATTTTATGACCTTGGGGAAATTACTTAACCTTTCTGGGCCTTCGTTTCCTGATCTGTAAAATGGAGAGAATAACAAAAGCTATGTCCCTGTGTCATTGTGAATGACATACTAATAAAGGTAAAGCCCTTAGAACTTCGTGTGTGCTACCGAGCAAGCTCGGTAAATGTCAGCTATTTATATTATGCTTCATCTCGTTAGACGCTTACAACACTCTCCCGAAATACATAATTGGAAAACGAAGTGACTCCAGTAAGTTCAACTAGCGAGGCAGAAAGGAAGAAGAACCTGCAGGCAAGACCAGGCTCCTTCATCTGCACAGCACTGCCTCCTGGTGCCCGAACAGGGATTCCCAGCTGAACCGCCCAGCAAGGCTCAGAAAAGGCACGCACAGAACAGCAAGCTGGTTTGCAAACACTTTTAAACAAAGCATCTGTAGCTGTGGCTTCCTGGCATTCTTAACAGCTACTCCGGCTTTTTTCTTTAAGGTAAGGAGGGAGACAGATCTGCGAGGTCTGGTCCTGGCGATCACATTAATAGTTGTGTGACCTAAGGGCAAGTTATTCTCCGGGGATGAACCCACCTCCAAGGTCCCTTTCGGTTCCAAAGGTATGATTCCACTTTTAAAAGATAACATTTGCAAACTTACTTTAACCCTGGGCTAGCAAAATAGGCAGGATCAAATAAAAAACTTACGTTTACATGTGAAGAAGACAGAATAATAACAGGTTCAGTAACTTAACACTAAAAATTTGATCACCAGCACACCTTCCTTAAAATGACTCCTTATTTTATCGGGAGGGATTTAAAGCCTTAGACCAAATTCTCTATTTGAAACTATAACAGGAAAACAAAGCAAAACACTCCGAAGAATAAATGAATGAGTCTTCCCTCCGGCAGCTGTAGGCAGCAGCCATCACTGCTGCAGAGGGGCAACAAGAGCAGAGCAGGGATGCAATTGATTTTTTTTTTTTTTTTCCTGCTCTTGAGAAATGAAATCGTGCTAGTTTGTAAGATCCATCTATGCTTTTTGCTGTGCACGTGTGTTCTGCAGGAGCACCTATGGCAAAACAATTCAACATCTGATTTGGGGTGAACTCCAAATTCGCATGAGAACCGTAGCCAGCACCGTTCAGGCCTAGGGAGTCAGGGGGAGGGGAGGATGCGGAGGCGGCGGGGGCTGCCCGGGGAGACCACGTGGGCCGGGATTTGGGCAGTCCGCGCTCCCGGCTCCACCGGGCAGAGGGGGCCAGGCCTGGCCTCCGCAGCGCACCGCCTTGGGGGGCTCCCCCGGGCGCCAGGCCCCGCCTTAGCGGGCGTCGCCGAGGTCACGGGCGGCCGCCCCAGGCCCCGCCCGCCGCGCTGACCCGGGCCTTCCCCCGCTCCCCACTTACCAGCCGTTGACCTCATTTTGGGAGTTCACATCCACCCCGCTCTCCACCAGTTTCTGCACCTCCCGGATGTCCCCCAAGGCCGCGGCCTCCCGCAGCCTCTCCTGCTGCTCCTTCTGCTCTAGGCCGGCGCTCATCTTCCCCGCGGCCCCGGCCCCGCTCCGAGGCCCGCCGTCAGCGCCGCCTTCCCCGCGGCCCGCCCCCGGCCATGGAGCGCGGGGCCGCCCGCCTGCTCGCGCCGCCGCCGCGCCCGGCCCGCCGCCTCGCTCCCGCCCGCCGCGCCCCTGCTGCTCCCGGCCCCGCGGGCCCAGTCTCAGCCCCGGCCGCGCCTCCCGCAGGCCGGCTCCGGGGGACCCTATTCAGAGTGACAACGCTGACCCCGATCGCTTCCGTTCCGGCCCCGGGCCGGGCCGGGCCGGGCCGCCTGTTTACGTAACCGCTGCACAGTTATCCGCTGTGATTCACCGGCTATTCTTAGGCCTCCCACCCGCCTTCCAGGGAGGGGGCAGGCGCCTGGCAAGGGGGGGAATGCATATCTGAGAGCCAGCAAAGCCTTATCCTCCGGCGCAGGCTGTTTACCAGGCATCACAAATAATTGGTGTTTTGGGTTTTTGTTTTTGTTTTTTTCCACCCCTCCAGTTCGTTTGACACTTTTTCCTTATTGGAGCCAACTCTTGCCCAGCAGGATGGGGAAATGGGGTGGAAACGACCCTGTCATTATATGCCCGTTACTGCAGAGACCGATTGCACTGCTCTTTCTTCCTTTGACGGTGCTTGGACCATTTTTTGTTTAGCTCGAATATGTATTTCAATTGCCCCCGTGGTTTTACATCTCATTTCTCCTAACAGGGATGTCTTCTAACTTGGCTTTCAAGGGGAAATATTTATATTGTGCCTCGAGTCTGTAAACTGCAATTGATGACTGCCTGTAAATCATAATTACTCTTCGCGAAGGCCATGTGGGGTGGGGGAGAGAAAGAAAAGACCACCAAAGAGGCTTTTTGGATCTCTCCTGGTTCTGATGCCCCGAGCTCCAGGGAGAGCGATGGTGCGGATGTAAACAGCATTCTGCCTGACTCTGCCCGGTCCGCCTAATGAGGTTCCGAGCCCACTTGGCACTGCTTTATTGCCCAGCGGGTGAAGAAGAAAATAATTGTTTTTGCTGAGCTCAAGTGCCTCTGAGAGATTTTCCAGTGTGCCACAGGATGGAGCCTTGCACTGGGGCCAGGAGGATTAAGGAAATAACCCTGCAGTGAAAAAGAGGAAGGCCTGCGCAAAGAGAGGAGATGAAATAGGAAGGGACAAATTTAGGGATGGAGTTCTCAATTCGCTCTCTTGGGGCTGCCCTGGTCCTGCACAGCAAGTACTTTTCTGGCTCCTGTTTAAGAAAATCAACCTGTCTGTTTTTGTGGTGGAGGAATCCACACAGTGTACAGTGTACCCCAGGTGATGGTGAATATAAATGAACTGCACACTTAAATTGACCCCCCAGGGCAAATTGCAACTCTGAGCTTACGTTTTTTATTTGTCCCCCAATTTAAATTTTCTCAGATCCAGCATGATACGTCATCTGAACTGCCTTTGCATGACACTGAAATTGGGTCCTTTAACACAATTTGAGTAACAAGGAAGTAGGTAGTAGCCTCTTTTTATTAAAAAAGCAGTTGTGCCGAGACCAGTTTGGCTCAATGGATAGAGCGTCGGCTTGGGGACTGAAGGGTCCCAGGTTCGATTCCGGTCAAGGGCATGTACCTTGGTTGCAGGCATATCCCCAGTAGGGGGTGTGCAAGAGGCAGCTGATCGATGACACTCTCTCATTGATGTTTCTAACTCTCTATCTCTCTCCCTTCCTCTCTGTACAAAATCAATAAAAAATATATTTTTTAAAAAATAAAATAAAATAAAAAAGCAGTTGTAAAAATTTGGTAGTGACTGCACTCAGAAGACTGTGAATTCTTGTTATAAGAATTTATTTGTCGCCGGGACCAGTTTGGCTCAGTGGATAGAGCGTAGGCCTGCGGACTGTAAGGTCCCAGGTTCAATTCTGGTCAATGGCATGTACCTTGGTTGCAGGCACATCCCCAGTGGGGGGCGTGCAGGAGGCAGCTGGTCGATGTTTCTCTCTCATCGACGTTTCTGACTCTCTGTCCCTCTCAATTCCTCTCTGTGTAAAATCAATTAAAAAAATATATATTTTTTTAAAAAAAAAATTTATTTGTCAAATTTTCCTCTTTTTTTTAATGTATTGTATTTTATTGATTTTTTTTTTTACAGAGAGGAAGAGAGAGGGATAGAGAATTAGAAACATTGACGAGAGTGAAACATCAATCAGCTGCCTCCTGCACACCCCCTACTGGGGATGTGTCTGCAACCAAGGTACATGCCCTTGACCGGAATGGAAGCTGGGACCTTTCAGTCCGCAGGGCGACCTCTATCCACTGAGCCAAACTGGTTTCAGCAAATTTCCCTCTCTTAAAAGTTTTATAGCATGTGCCCTGAATTGTTGAATCCGTGAATCTGTG